CCACCATGTTGTTTTACAGTAGCCCAGACTGGACAAACTAAACACCTTTGGAATTTTATTTTTTTCTATCTTAATGCCCTTCTGCTGCTGTAATGTCAAAATTTCCTCAGTGTGGAATGAATGAATATTTTCTTATCTTATTACAAGCCTTCAGTGCAACACTGTCTTCTCCTACAGTGACACACCATGTTCCTATTGCTGCCTGTCAGGACTTCTTCATTAATCACTTATTCATGGTCAAGCATATCCAATAATGTCCAGTACATGCTGATTTGTCTGTTTGACGTATGTGGATGCGAGCATCTACTGCAATGTAGGCTGTGACACAGTATGGCTGCCATTCAGTGTTGCACTGATCACTGTCTCATTTCATGCTGCATTCCTAATGAGTGGTTAGTTGACAATGGTCAAAACAGTTTTTTTAGCTCGTCTCTCTCAGTACGACATAGGATCGCCCTCCTGGAGCCGTGGCATGATATGCAAGGTATTGCCATGTTTCTTTAATGTTGGTCATCTTTTGTCTTGGGCAGCCTTACAGGCCTTTCAAAATAGACGGTAAAATGGTATTGTTTGTTTTTAATCACTGAGAGGCTTTCCCCCATCTCACATTATCGAACTTCTCACCACCTCCCTCCCCTGCATATACTCGTAGGACTGCAGGACAAGCTGTTGCTCTCCGTCTCCGTGGCAATGCCTGGGACAGAGGCTGGCCTCACAGTGGAAACTGCCAAACAATAGCGATTTCCGAAATCTGAGCGGTTGTTGATTTTCCCATCACTGCATTCTCTGCCTATATATGATGGCATTCACCCAACATAAATCTTAATGGGAGAGTTTTCTTCTGTTCCATTTTTCTGCCATACCTTTGGAACATGTAAAACACAGCACTCCTTTGTCTTGATCGCGTTTCCTGTGTTCCTATTATCTATTATCTCTTCAGCACTGTAATTTGTGTGACAGCAGGAAGGGTCAGCCACTGTGATACTAGATGAATGCTTTGTCACTTGTTCAGTTTTCATTATCCGTACAGGCATGTGTGTATGTATGTAAAATATTAGAAAAACGACTTGAAATACGGTATTTGGTAAATGGTCTGTATTTAGATACACTTTTCTAATCTCGATGACCACTCAAAGCGCTTTATACAGTGCCTCTATGTGCAACACTTTTTCTATCATACATCAATCATACACTGCTGGCACAGCCTTCATGGGCAATTTGGGGTTCAGTATCCGACACTTCAGCATGGGGAGATGGGGATTGAACCGCCGACATTTTGTTCGTCTTGATCTTCATCTTGATCTACACCCCTGAATGATAAATACAAACTGTTTTACGTGTTTCCTGCTTCTG